TTATATATATATATATATATATATATATATATATGTATGTATGTATGTACATTTGAATGTTCTTTTGAGGAATATGAATTTTATATATAAAAAAGATGTATCTCTCAAAAAAAAAACATATTCAACGTTATTAAAAATGCATTTGCATTGCTTTCATTTAAAATCGACAGTATGCTTCCAAAATCAATTGAAATTTGATTTTAATCTCCTCATTCCTATTCCTTCTTTTATTGTCAGTATATTATCATTACAATCACCACCTTTTATTTTCGCGAGCGAACGATAAAGAGAGTAAATGATACTATTAACAATAAAATTATGAATTTGCATAATAAAATTATCAATATTAAATCTATAATTGTGAACATGTATATATCTTTTTCTACTGCATGTACATTTTGTATTTAGCATGTGATTTGGTAGGTAGAACATAATTTGAAGAAAAATAATGATTCTGCATGTATCGTTATATATTTTTACTTGATACTATATTTCCTATTTAATAGTGAATAATACAATACATATTATGTCTAGTAATCTATTTAAAATCATAATTTTTTATGAACAACATTCTATCTTTTTTATTTTATTTTTATTTATAAATTTATTTTTAATTTTTAATAATTGATAATATAATGCAATAATATTGATAACACAACAATATTTTTTGATTTTAATTTGATAGATATAACTATTATTATCAAAATTTGTTATAAATTATAAGATTACATCGAATATGATATATATATTCATATATATATATATGTTAAGTGTGTAGATATAAAGTAATGTAACGCCATCTGATCAAATCGTTCAAATTCTCCGTGCATGTTTCCCTTTAACCTCCAAAGTATACGTAACAGTGTTTTACGTTAGAGAAAATTACGCGTATTTTAAAAACGTAGTTTAATCTAAAATCTCGCCTCAATCACGTTTACGTGTTTTTATTATTGTCATCGTATGTGAATAATAGATATTAAGAATTATAAGTAGAAGTGAGTAGAAAGAAAAGACCTTTGACAGAAATTCGAGGGCCAAAAATTTACGTATTCTGCCTGTTGTTGCAATATTCTCGCACTATGGTAAAATCCTATTAATAATATCTACAAACGATTCAGTTCACATTGTAAACAGCAACTAGGGAAGAATAATCGACAAACTTTTATCGCTATATACTTCTGGATTTCTGCAATATCCTTTTATCTAAATCGTTATCTAAATCATTTCTTCGTTACTTCCCTTTGTTAATTATAAACAAATTACAGTTCACAATTCTTAGAATGTTTTGACTTAGTCGCTTTTCAATGACAAAAATTATTCCAATTATTAATTAAACTCGTATTTCGAGAATATGATAACTGTGAATTTTATAATTCCAAAGGTAAGTTGTATATAATTTAACATTAATAATTTTTTAAACATAGAAAATCAATTTTACCTTATATTTTAATTTATACTTAAATTTAACATTTTTTTGTATTTAGGTATTAAACAAACTGAATTAAATTGCTTTGGAAAAATTCAATTATTAATTTTTATAAGGATAAAATATTATCTTTAAAATCTATTACAAAAGAAAAAATTTAAAAAACAATGGATACATCGATGCGTGAAAAACTACTTACTTTTGCGGATGTTATGATTAGAGTTCCACCATTATTTATCATAGATGAATTACTTAGAATTGGACTTGGATTATCCAATGACAATGTAGTGCTTTATAGCACAGAACGTGGTTTTAAGATATCAAGAGTTTCAGACAGCATTGTAAATTCAATAATACCTACTTCATTGTTACAACCATTTGACTTTGAATATTTTGCTTATAAAATGCATTTTATAATGGCATTGAAGTTTTTATGCTGTTGTTTGGGTAAGATGTTATATACATTTAGAGATTCTTGAATATAATGCATTTTATTGTTTAAGTAAAAACATTTAATAATTTTATTTTATTAAAGAATGATGAGATAGATTTTTTTTTAGACTTGATGAAAAATAAAACATAATGTTTATAGTATAATTAGATTCAAAAATAATAAAATTTATTATAGAAATTTTATTCAAAGTTGTAGAGTTGATTTTAATAGATTAGTATATTTGTAAAAAGAAGTAAACTTTACAATATAGCATTCTTAAAATATTTATATATAAATTATTAATTTATAAATCATAAAGAATTAATATAAAAAATTTAATAATATAAAAATTAAATAATATAAAAAATATAAAAATAGAAGTAATGTTAAAATTAAAAAAAAAAATTAAAATCAGTTAAAATTAAAATAAAAATCAATGGTTCATTGTTAAATATTTATTTTTCAGGATATATAGCTGCAATATGCATATTTATGTTATGGACAAAACATCTAATAATTGTATATGTATACTTAATATCAGTAGGGACAATATTTATATCCTATTGGTCAAATATTAGTACAATGAAAGCTATTATTACATATGTGAGCACACAACGTGAATACACAACTAGCATACTTGATGATATTTTGACTCTTGATTTAAAATATATCTTAGACGAAGGACCGGGTTTCTTGATAATTCAGAATTATGTATTACAATGCTTATTAGCTAGCATTTTTTGTTATATTCATCTTGCACCAAGACATCCGATTCTGCAAAAACTTCTTGTATTAAGTTTTATGGCACCGCCGATCTTAGGCATTTGTCCATTGCCGGTAAGTTATGAAGTTGAAGTTTATATTTTAGATAAACATATTTTCAAGACTACTTCGTCACGAATTTTAATTATATGTTTTATAACATCATTGAATGAATTTTATGAACAATAGGAAAAAAAAAAAATTCAATGATGAAGCGATGTTTCGAGAAATTTAATTTCGATTTAATTTAAATCAATTTAAATTGCTAATATGCTTCGACGTAGTTTAATTAGAAACAATTGCATGTTGAAAAATAGATTTTTATATTTACATATTTATATATAGAATATTACGATTTCTTATATACATTATATTATGTTTCTCATATTTTCAAATATCACGTATAAAATATCACGTATAAATCATTTATTACATTTATGCACATATTATTAAATATTCATAACTTTTCAGACGCAAGTTCTCTATCATGTGCCAGTGTTCGCAGCTCTTCTTCCATTAGCTGTATGTAAATTTGTTATTTGGTACAATGGAATTACTATGTTAAACACGATTTATATGGGTTATCAACATGCACGTAACTTCATAAGCAATTACGGTTTATCAGCACTCGCCGAAACGGAATGGATCCGATTGAACGTTCCGTGTGTATTACGTATGTTTTGGATGCTAAGAGTTGGAGGACAAGTGTTTCAGATCCTTGGAAATCATTACGGTGAAGAGACGTTTACCTATTACGTAATGATTAGAAGTTTATTAGTCAATGGTTGCGAAACATTGACGGCCGTCTTGGGAATGACAAGTATAATTTCATTTATTTGCGATTATATCGGATGTTTCTTTCAATGGGTGTTGCTCACAGAAGACGAAGACGAGAAGAGTATCGGTACCGTATCCGCAATTTTATTTTATGTGCTAGCTTTACAAACTGGATTAACAAGTTTGGATAGAGAGAAACGTTTGGTCAGATTGTGTCGTAATTTTTGTTTATTGTTTACGGCTGTTCTACATTTTGTCCACAATATCGTAAATCCACTTTTGATGTCGCTCAGCGCTTCGCATAATCCAGCACTTCATCGACATATTCGTGCCCTGGCAGTTTGCGTATTTTTGATACTATTTCCAGTGTCACTCTTAGTATATCTTTGGTCCCATTATACTGTAAACACGTGGTTACTTGCGGTATCGGTGTTCAGTATCGAAGTGATTGTAAAAGTGTTAGTTTCGCTCGCTATCTATTCTTTATTTCTAATCGATGCTTATCGTAGTGTATTTTGGGAACAGCTTGACGATTGCGTATATATAATACGATCTTTCGGTAATACAGTCGAATTTACATTTGGTATTATTCTGTTCTTCAACGGATTTTGGATGTTAGTGTTCGAATCCGGTGGAGCAATTCGAGCCATCATGATATGTATCCATGCCTACTTTAATATATGGTGCGAAGCAAAAGCCGGTTGGAGTGTGTTCATGAAACGTCGATCAGCCGTTAACAAGATCAATTCTTTGCCCGAAGCAAAGGCAGAGCAGCTTCGAATGCTGGATGATGTTTGCGCTATTTGTTATCAAGAGATGCAAAGTGCCAAGATTACGCGCTGTAATCACTACTTTCATAGCGTCTGTTTGCGAAAATGGTTGTACGTTCAGGATCGTTGCCCACTTTGTCATGATGTATTGTATAAAGTTGAGAATCCGCAGAACAAAAGCAACGAGATTATCCCCACCGAACAACGGGTAGTGGCAGATGCTGAAGACAATGTTCCCGGAGTGAACGAAGATAGGTGAAAAGACGAATAGTTTTAATAAATGATAAACTGTTAAGAATCGAAAATTTAAAGTCATAAAAGTCATCGATCTCCGAATATCTTGCCTAAAAAAAAGAAAAAGTTTCGTTTCCTGTAAGTCGCTCAAATTTCAGTAATTTGATACGATTTACTTTAAACGTTTCTCGACAATGTTGAAGTCTAGTTAAAAAAAAAAAAAAAAAGAAAGAAAAAAAACCAATAAGGAATTCCACAACGTGAGAAAACTCCGTTACCATTTAAATTTAGCTTATAAGAATATTTCTCTTATGATACCTACTGGTTTAGAATCAAAAATTACAAATACATGTGACTTGCTTTTATACTTTCTCGAACATAAGCAACGCTCAAGCTTCCGTGCACTCATTCTGCTTATTCTTCCATTTTATAATCTTCTACTACTCTATGAATGAATCAATATATTCCATTGATTTAAATTGGAAAGTTCGTATCGCTTGTCCATTATAGAACAAACACGTCCCTGGATACGATCAACCGAATTATCGTGTATTTTATTGAATATGCGAAATACTTTACTTTGAGCTTTCATCGTCAAATGAAAGGTGATAACGTGAGAGATGATAATAATATGATCATAAAATCATAGTAGATATAAATGTATAAGTGTTAAGTACACGAGATATTCCATATATGTATAAGTTGCATACGGAAATTACCGTAAGTAATTTGTAAGCTCATTTCTCGTGTTAATAACAAGAATAAAGTTATGATATTAACGATTAACTTTTTTTCGAAATCGATAGAGGAAAGCAAACACATAATTCTACACGTTATAGAAATAATATAGCCAAATGATCAATTTTGGTAATTAAATTAATATATATATATATATATAAAATAATAAATATAACATATGCTATTTTCTATCTCAAATGCGCGTATTTTACTTCTTCCAGATACGTTCACTTTATCAAGGATATATGCAAATTTGTTTTTTTTTTTTTTTCCTTTCTTTTTTCTTTTTAACTTTAATCACTTTCTCTGTCGTTTCGTGAGTTAAATCCACACAAGCATCTGTGATAGTTAGATAACAGCGAAAATTATAAGTTTTCTAATTTATTGGAAATCATTGTTTACTTATCATATTACATTTAATAACGATTGTACGGAGTCTTATTTGTAAGATTTGAGCATATGTAATAAATCTTATATTTTTAAAGCGTCATCATTACTTCAATGTCCTGATTGGTCACGTGGTGTACAATATCAATAGGAAGAATTTCTATTGCGACGCATTTACCTCGCAAATTATAATTCTCTGCACGTCCGTGAAATTAGAGCAATTCCAACGATACGAATGATACGAATCGAGCGAAGGGCGCATTATCGTACGTAGTTACCAATAGCGCGGCCAATTTTAGATTTCCTGTGATTTCGTTGCTTCTTAATTTAACATAATCAGACTAAACAAACGTCAAAAAGTGAAAAAATGCGAATAAACGTCACGTTTCAAAATACAATTTACGCCCTCCTTTTGTACAATTTCAGTCAACGATAATGTTACCGATAATGTTAAAAAAGATGAAAAGATAATTTAAAAAAAAAAACGAAAATTACTATAGATAAGAGAAAGTAAGATGTTTAAAGAGATGCAAAGAGAATTTGTTTACTTCCCGTTTTCGACTCGAGTCCACTTAATGGTAGGTAAGTAACTTACTTTCCCAGCCTGTTCCCCACTCCTCTTCTCTGAACTTTTTTTACATTGCAGTTGCAGACCGCTGCCCGATCTTCGAAACTCCGCTACTTGTCTCTCAGTCTGGTGCGCACCGCCACTGAGCGAGGGTGTTAACGTTTGTTTTATTCGAAACGACAAACCGATCTAGAGAGGATCAACAGGTAAGATAGAATCAATTTTTCTTCAAGGAAATATTATATACGATTGTGTATATACAACGACGAGGTTTCAGACATTATCTACGATAGTCGAACGTTCTAGTTGCTTTTTAAAGCGAGTAAAGACTGACTTTTTTTTTCTTTATAGCTCGCGTTGAGATCAAGTGTATGTATATATGTATACTACGCCTTACTGATCGAACGGTTAGATCGAATTAGATAATTTAAATTGTCGAGAAGAGAGAGAGAGAGAGAGAGAGAACGTTTTCGAGACAAATAAAATTAGTGTCAACTCGCTAACTTGCACACTCCATCGAGCGCGTTAATTAACTTACGATACCTGGATATAGATAAGGAGACGTAATGACGTAATGACGCACCACGTTTACTGCGACGTGTTACTAAATCGAACGAGCGTATTATTGAGAAAAATCGCGCGAAACATTTCCCCGGCGAAGCGAAAACTTGGATTATTTTTTCCCGGGGCGAAAAATCCTTTGATTCGTATCGCGTTGATTCATGCGTTGCTGTGGATACTCGAAGAATTGTGGGAACATTGGCGGAGTAAAAGTGAAGGAGCTGCAAGTCGGTTTCGCAAGTCGGAAATTCGTACACGCGGTGGTTGGTCTGACGTAATAAAACTCGTTACGAGTCGTTGCGTGTTCAATGGCCCGTATTGCGCGTTATTTCTCAAACGAAGCGAGTATCGATCTCGCTGATTTAGCCATTTCCCTTGAATTATCGCGAGAATTCACGGGAAGTGAGATAGGAAGATCGACGCGGTTGGAAAGAGAATCCTTGCTTCCGCGTTTCTTGCAGTTATTAATAAAAATAACCCGTTTCTGTTCTACACCGCGCTTCTTCGACGACGATCTCACGGCCTGTAATCGGGCGGCGGATCTCCGGCCGAGCTAATTAGAAACTTACGATGACGAAGAAGAGGTTTCTGTTGGCGCGGGTTCCGAAAAAGCGAACGGAAGAGATTGATAATCGATAAATCTGAAAATAGTCAATCCATCGATGATGCGTACGCACGTCTTTTTATCCGCGGTTTCGATATCGTTTCGAGATTCTTTCAATTATTTCCAACTAGTTTAAACGAATCCTCAATCGATCGTCGCGCGATATCTAAATGCTTCGTGGAAAATAAGAAAAAAATCTCAACTATATTATAGAAACTGTAAATTAAAAACGAGCGAATAAATATAAAAGTCGAAGTCGTTGCTCGTGTATATATCATCATAAAAATATGAATTCATCGAAGAAAAAATGTAACGATCTTTTGAACGCGCATCGACAGCGACGACGATAGACGAAGCGTGGTGGCACGCCTCGAAAAGCAGGTCTGCCAAACCCCTCGAGCCAGGTGTGCATTTTTGAGGCTGCATATCGTGACGCGAGTTGTTGCGAATCGTTACCGAGTCCTTGGCGAGGCTTGATTTACCACCGCCGTGCCGAGAGAAATCGATTCCACGCGATACCGCCTTTTAAGCTCGATGAACGGAAGACTTAGGCGGGATCTGTAACGGACGAAAATTGCATGGATGCAATGTAACGGTGGTGACGATCGTTTATCGTCGATCGAGCACGTGCCTGCCACTCGCTTTGCCAGCGTGCAACGTAAATGGTTAAAACCACGCGATGCGTGCGACCGGAAAAACAATTTGATCGTTCATTCGAACTGGTTAACTGGCCAGGAATTAAGTAACCCTTCGACGTTCGATTCTATTTCCGTACAATTTGCATATCATTTTAATTGCCTTTATTCAAATTACAATTCGTTTTTTCTTTGTTGAAATTTGGATGTTCAATGAGACGAGTTGTTTTTTGCTTACTTGGATTACTTTTCAAAAAATTAATAATAAAACCTCGAATTTTTTCACATCGACAACTTTTCTTTTCGTCGTTTCCTCTTCAAGATCAAGAGCGAGGTCGCATTGCGCACGCGGCTTAACAGGCTTCGAAGAGAAGAAAGCCGAGTTACAAGAAGGGACTTAGCAGCACCGAGAACACGGAGCAATTACTTTGCCCCTCCGTTTAAATCGTTGGAGGAGTTTCGTTATTATTACCTTTTTTGCGTTGCATTAAAGTCGGTCGCCTTATTGGGCGCAAGCCTCTCTTTTCCTCCCACGATTATCCCATCCTCGATGAATCGATCTCTATCTCTATTTTCCATGTAATCGTTGCGTCAACGTTCGTTCATCGGTTAGATCCAATTTATCACACCTCTCCCTTCCCTTCTGAACATAGTCGCAAATTTCCGCTCGATCGGTCGAAGGGAAGAAGAATCGAAGATAGATTTCAACCCATCCAACATGATGAACATATGGATCGGCGATCAAGAGCAGTATTTCCTCGGCAAGAGGGCCAAGGATCCGCCGGCGAAGATCATCGGCTCGAGGGCGATGGAGCACTCCGATCTACCGAACGTGGAACGATTGATACGCCCGGAAACGTATGAAATATTCGGAGACTTGAACCTCGAACGTGTCTTGTAATCTCGCCTATCCATCCAATTGAGAAATTTTCGATAAACAATAAATACAAGGAGGTGGTGATGAATAATTTGCAGCGAAACGAGTTGTCACTCGATGGTTCAGTGGAACGAGAAAGGGGAGATCGTTTCGGGCATCTGCATTTCCAATTATCCGAACGTGCCCTCGGTGATTCCGGAAGATTGGATGAATTGGTTGTACACGTTGTACAGGTAGGAGGGGTGGACGCTTGTTAGAGAGGGGAAAAAGGGAGAAATGAGTTTGCTTATCGGGGTCTCGTTTGAAAAAAAGGGTGCAACAAGTGACGGAAAAGAACTCGATGTTCGTGCACGTGCTCGTGTGGGACGCGCGATACACCGGCCACTTCTTCGAAAAACTTCTCTCCGGATTGTTCGATGTCACCTCGTATTTGGAGTACATACTCATCGTGATTCCTCCTCGGATCATTCTCAGTGAGCCTATATATAGACGGATAGATAGATAGATGGATCTCTCGAGGCCTGATTCAAGGCCATCGATCGTTATCGTATCGTGTTATTGCAGCCGACGTTTTCGAACACCAGATGATCAAGATTCCGTTGAATTCTGGGAACGACCATCCCTCGTACCAGTCCATCTTCATGAGCGATCGTTTTCTGAAAAAACCAAGGCTGAAAATTCGCCGCGTGGTGTAAGTTTCTTTTTATTGTTTATTTAACGATCCTCTGATCGGAAAATTAATCCTTCGCGCTTCAACGGTGATTCTCAGTCACCACTCGGTTCGATTCGAACGGCGACGATGCTTGTTTGTGTTTGACTTTTTTTAAAATTAGATCAGATTAAAATAAGGTCTTTACGTTTAATCTTATAAAGTGTAAAGAAGCTGAAATTAAATCGAACTACATTTTCGACGTTGGTCCGAGTTCGATTCCTCGTTCATGCCAATAGAAATATTATTTTTAAAATTTTCAAGTTTTGTAAACACGATAATTAAAAATTAGTTCGAGCGAAGATGAGTTTGATTTTTTGTTTTATTAAATAACGATATTATTTCTATTCGTTGAGAAAGGTGAAGGACAGGAAACGGTATTTTATCGTGATACTTGCCCTGACAAATCGAAGATGCATTACATTGTTATTAAAATATCGCACAAAACGACGATACAGACTTTAACATTCAACAAATTTCCTTTCCTTACGCGTAAAGATACGTAAAATACTAAAATATCAAAGTTTCGTACGTTAGCTAGAGAAAATCGTCCGGAGCGAAAAAGGCGTGTAGTGCAAAGGATTAATGATTAATAAGTTTGAGTTTATTTTAAAAACTATTTGAAAATATTATCGATGACGCGACAGGGAGGAGGATAACGACGACGTGGTGTCGATCATCGACGCGGAGACGCCTCTGTTGAAAGAGTTTTACGGAGAATTCTACGTGAGCGAGATGGTTCGTAACCCCGACAATTGTCGAAAATTGATCATCTCCGAGGAGGACGACACGGCCACGGGTGTGATGTTCATTAACAAGAACATAGACGTGGAAACGCTGATCGACAATTTCCAGCTGGTGCCGTACAACGGTCTTAAAAAACCGCACAAGAAAGATGTCCTCCCGGAGGAATACACGAGGCCCGACAGCGAGACGTTCTTCTCCTTTTTCACGAAGAAATTGGATATCGACTCGGAACGGTTGTATTATTCGAAACAATCTGCCTTCGATAAATCTATCAACTAGCTCCAACTCTTTTCACAATAAATTCTCGTTAGATCCTCCGTGATAATTTCTCCGGAAGAGAGCACGGAAGAGGTAACGGAAGAGCTGGACGATCAACTGTTGGAAGTGAAAAAGTTCGAAGAGGTGGATCCATCGATGATGACATTCATCACCGATCTTCCACGGATAACTCGTCATTTTAGCATGTACTACGAGTCGAAAGTGGAGTCGAGTGCGTTCGTCGAGTCGTTGTTCCACATTCCACGTGAGTTCATAAAAAGAGAGAGAGAGAGAGAGAGAGAGTGAAAATGAAAAGAAAAGAAAATAAAGGAGCGATTCTTTGAAACGAAGGACGGACGATAGTTACCAGCATAACCGACGAGATACGATTGGAGACGATCTATACTCCCGAGCAGCCTGTTTATTACGGCAAAGTGAACGCGTTCGTTCTCGAGATTTTCGCGATGAAACAGAAGATGAAACTTCGGGAGAGTAGGAATTTCATCGAGGCCGCGTTCGAGAGCTTCCCGGATTTGGAATACTGCGTGATCCTTTTGCCCTCCAATCACGTGTTCATCCCTCTTCTCCATCATTTCGTGGTACGGTTGATTTCTTCCCCAACGATGACTTGTCCCTCGAACTCGATAATCGATAATTGATCGATCTGTAGCGGGTCGCTCCCAAGTGCAACAAAGATTATCCGATGAGCTTGTATCTAACGCATCGTGCCGCTCTTCTCGGCCAGATAACCCTCCGCGCGGGCAAGTCGATCGACAAGCTGATACTGAAGAGATTTCTGAAAAGAATCCTGAAATCGGACTACGTTCTGCACGATTTCGACAAAGCGACGAATAAAAACCAACGATCGGACATGTATTCTTACATCTTCAAGTGGAACGACACGATTATCGGCGTTATAATTATTCGGTAAACTTATCGAGAGGCTTGTTAATCGTTCCCCCCCCTTTTTTTTACTTTAAACTTTGTTTAAAGTAACGATGAATCGTGAAAACCACAGCGTCGAAAAGGAAACGACGTACATCAAGCGGCGTTATCACATCGAGGATTACGTAGCGATACAAAATATCCCCCTCAACGGTTACGCCCGTATCCTCCATTTTATCATAATGCCAATCTTCTCCATTCACATACCTTTCCTCATCAGCGAGATTTCACGTCTGAGCGGTTTTTTCGTCTTCTACTATCGGCTCGAGGAGAGCTCGTTGAGCGCGCTGGTAAAAAAAAAAGAAAAAAGAAGAAATTTTATCGATCGAAATATTCGCGAAATTGATTAAGGCAGTTTACGCGTTTTTTCCCCATCGTTTTCAGACACGTACGCATCCCCTGGCCATATGCTTGACCGTCATGATCCCCGTCTACCCTCGGCGAAGAATAAAATATCGGTATCGTAATCTGATAGAAACGGACAGGAAGCCTAAAGAGGAGACCGAATCTTTCTCGCTTTTCTTGACGACGCCGAGATTGTCCATGATGCTGGGCAACATCGTCGACTCGAAGATAGTCGTCGTGGGTGCCTCCGATTGCGGTGTCGCGTTCGTGGAACAACTTGCTCTTGGGTAAAATCAATTCTCGAACAATCTGGACAACCTGGATCCGGATCGTTCGAATCGAGAGAGAGAGAGAGAGAGATTTCGATGAGTATTTTTTCCAGCTTGTCCGCCCTCTTCTTCCTTTTTTTCGAGAAGAAGGAAGGAAGGTTGGAGGAAGGTAGATTAAAGATTTTTTTTTCTCCCCGAATTTGTTTTAGCTGCAATTTCATACGATTCGCGAATCTCACTTTGATATCGCCGAACGGTTTGCCGTACGACAATAATTACGGCGATTTGTGCGATCGCATGATACCCTTCACAGGCCGATACTGTCGAAAATATCGTAAGGAGCTTCCCACGCGTGTGTGGATCAACATCGTGTACGGAACGGTTACAACGATTAACAGGTAGAGAAAAGAGGTGGCGAGAACGAGGTATCGTATATCGTGTATACCTTTTGATTTATCGATCGACAGGAAGGAGAAATACGTGACCGTGTTCGGTCAAGGGAACATCACGTACGATTATTTGATCTTGACCTGCGGGATGCAGTATCAGAAGCCCAAGTTTCAAGAAGAATTGGAACTCGAGAAAAACGGGTAAAGCGAAGGGAGAAAAGGGAGCAAAGTAAAGTATCTGATGACTCGTTGTTCGCGCAGACAATTTTTCGATATCGAGGTGCCTTGGAACATGTTGACGATCAACGACGACACGGAAGCGGCCGTGTGCCTGGAGAAGATAAAAAAGCTGACGGAAAATTTGAAAAAGAAAAGTTAATCGACGAGAGGATGGAATACGAGAATACGATCTGATCGAATTTTTCCCGATTTATTTTTAGAGATGATCGTCTTTTACGGCCACAACATAGATTGCTACTGCGCTCTTCAAGGATTGCTGGAATTCGGAGTGGATGGCTCTTGGATCACGTTGATCCATCCCCCGTTGGCCCAGTGTACGGCCTACGATGAGGCGTTCTTCGACGATTGCGAAGTACGAGAAAGACGAGCCTCCTCTCTCCTTGTTTAATCGATCAAAAACGTTGATTTCGAATCGTGTTCAAGGTGTACACGGAAGTGATGGAGTCGATCACGAGGAAGAACATCAAGATAATCGTGGGATGGGAATTGGTTGATTGGTACCTGGAAGACTCGTCCAAGGGGAAAATGATCGAGTCGATCGTTATAAAGTTGAAGGGGAAGACCGAGGTGGTGGATTGCGACTTTTTGATAAATTTTTACGAGAAGACTATCGGAATGAAGATATTCTTGGGTGATTGCCAATATTCCCGATCGTAGCCGTTATACAATTGCTAGACAGTTGTGCGATTTCAGCGATCTGTAGATCTGGATTGATGTTCGACGGCCAATTGGTCATAGATTCGGACCTGAGAACGAACGATCCGTCGATCTTCGCAGCTGGCACCATAACCAAGTATTGCAGAAGGTATTACAGCGAGTCTTGGCAGCACAAAAACTTCAACAGAATCGAGATCGGCGAAAAAGTTAGTAGATCGGCGTTCTACATTTCTACAAATCGTTCGGAGCAACGGTTCTTCAAAATATGAGATAGAGAATTTTTCGTCTCTTCATAATGCGAATTATAAATGAAACGCGATGACCGCGATTTTAAGATATCGGCTCTTTTTAAGAATCGGTTCGACCAAATTTTTATCTTGTTCGCAAAATAGTTGGCGAAAATCGTTCGATCGTTCATCGAAAACGAGCACAAAGGCAAGGATCCAGCGTCCGTCCCATCCAAACGCAAAGCCTACGAATCGGTATACGTGTTCCGATTACCATTGATAGTTGCCTGCATCGTACCGGATGGTTATCGATTTCTTCATGTACGAAAATGCGGGAAAAGCATGCCACGCAAGATGGCGATCCGTTTCGATATTTACGTGAGTGTCGATCGATTCCGCCCCAACGAAAAAAAACGCTGTTTGTTTGTTCTGAACGCAACGTTTCAGGGCCAGGTGTTGATCACGGGATCGTGCAAAAGCGATATCGGTTACTTCCGGATAAGATTAAATCCGTTCAACGTGATCGAGACTGTAACCTGTTTTAACAAAAAGGTAAAGGGAGAGAGGATCGATCTTTTGCTCTCGTTTTCCTTTTTTTTTTTTTTTCTAAAATTATTCTCAAACGCAAGTTAAGCGCAATTTTTCTAGAATTTTGAAGTGGATCATATATGCTCGTTGTGGGGAAAACACGAGAGCCTGTTGAACAATTTAAAGGCACGATTCAAAGTAAGAGTTTTCTTGTTTGCCACCTTTTCGTTGTTTCGACAACGTCGTTCGATCACAATGTGATTATCCTCGTGACTCAGGAATCACTGATCGTGGACTTTTTCGAATACTTTCGGGAACCGTGGGCCCTGGCCATATTTTACGATAAATTCGACTGTCTTCGAGTGGAGAATCGTGCCACGCTCTTGTCGAAAACGGTAAGAGAAATGAAAAAAAAAAAATGTGAAAAAGAAAGTGAAAGAAACGAGAGAAGGAAAAAGAAAAAAATAAAACAGAGATATCTTGTTTCTATTCGACAGGCGATACCCGGCCAATCTTTGGTCAACGATTGCATACGTGCTCTAATGCGGTCGAAATGGGACGAGGTGAGTTGGAACGAGGCGAGTCGAGCTTTCGAAACGAAACCTCCGTTAATAAAATTTGTGCCAACCAACCTATCTAGATACAGGAGAGCGATCTTCAAACCATCCAATCGAGATACGCTGGTTCCGTTTACCAGCAAGAGATCGAGGGGAATCTGCTCGACTTTTTGCAATTCTGCGAGGAGGATCTGCCTGTGTATTGCACGCCCCCGAAATTGCACGAATTATACGTAAACAACAAGGATAGCCCATTGTACAACGTGTTCTAAACAACCTTGTCACAATTAATTTCTATATATATATATTTTTCTTTTTCTCGAACGAGATCGAAATAAAAGAATCGCGAAACGAGCTTCCAAAGTATTATTTTATACCCGCATAATTTTATCCCTCGAACGCGATGCATTTTCGATCGAGACGTTGGTCGAAAACCGCAACGAGCGCATTGGCAACCGATCGCGTTACACACGATCGTATGCACGAACGTTCGTGTGGACGAACGTTACCGACTTTTAATAAACGAGTTCCCGATCCGAGTCCTCGATCGTTCCATCCGCGCCTATTTACTTGGCATGCGATCCGATCTCTGGGTCAAGTTTAACATTCCGCCGTGCTGCTCCATAAACATACGGCTCAAGGCAGCGTCTACTTGCCGCCTACGCATCGTGAAACAACAAACACACGTCACTGAAATGTCATGGCGTGCCTGTTTCAACGCAGAATTCTCTCTCTCTCTCTCCCCCTCTCTATTCTCTCTTTCTTTCTCTTTTGTATTAGAGTTTACGAGAGATCGTTGATGCCCTCTTTTGAAAATGAAGAGAAAGCGTTGCTTAGAGAAAGAGATTAGAGGAGTATGGAATCGATCTGTGAATAATCCTCCACGTGAGAAAATGCGACGAGAGGGAATATATCGTGTGTTTCGATGCTCGTCGGAATTTATTATTAAATATCCGTAAGTAAAAAAAGTAACGCGAGATAATTTATCGATCGTCGTAGAAAGGGAGCCAAATAGTTAATGGCTTAACGGATCGGTGATTCAGAACCGGAAACAGAATTGTATAATTAACCTTTTTGGCAAGGAACTCTTTCGTTCGAAATCTTTCGTTGGATCGGTGCATACTATCAAGGCTGATAGACCTCTCCTCTCCTACGTGTACGCATCGATTTACATTTTTAAATTGCTAACGCGCGCGTTAAAATCAATTGCGGCGAAACCAGGTGGGAATCAGTCGCGCGTGAACCGCGCACACGAACGTTCATCATCTTCCCGACCGAGCCGAGCAACCTTTTTTCCGCGAAAAATGAGCGAATATTCCTCGTATTTTTACGAAAGGAGGTGTTACATATGCGAACGAAGTGCGCCCTCTTCTCCGAAGGACCGCTATGCCCCCCAAAAATCGACGCACAGAGTGAGATTCACCGAGCCGAGTAAGTGGAAAAAATTTTAAAAATTGGCCACGTGTTCGCGCCCGTGTCAGTTTTAATCAATCCTTCCACTTTTTATCCCTACCTCGTGTTTCGTTTCTTCGCAACTCGTCAGTATAGTGTATGGTATATCGTGTCATATTTTTTAACGAGAATAGAATCGTTACCGCTTAAAAGAAAAAAAAAAAAAAAAGTAATACGATACGATTCCGCATCACACGTCTCATAAATGTGAAACTTCCTTTCGTCAAGAATTGAAAAATATCAAATGTTTTCCATGTTTTGGTCCTAAATTTGCCGCGTTTCCGAGAAGGATAGCATAAAATCGATGCGAAACGCACGGTGAGACACGCGATTCAGACGTAGCAAGCCAGACACACGACTTTTGTTATTCCCGTTCCCGTGTAATCGACTCTTGAAATGTATCCAAAAGCGTGTAGAGTCCCTGACGTTGGGTCAATGTCGCGCTATTCTCGTTTCGTTCTCCGCGCTCGTGGATTTTTACAGCTGTAGAATCGTACGAAAAAGAAAGAAAGAAAGAAAGAAATCGTTTAAATTCGACGAATTTAACCGGGGAAAATACATAATCGAAATTTTCGTTCGAAAATAAATTTCTTCCCAATTGTTGTTTAAACGTTCGTCGAACAACGTTCCAGTTAAGGGACTTGGCGCGTTAATCGCGCCTATTAATCTTGCACAATAATAAATAACGAGACAAATACAAAACAGCATTGCATGCGTTTACGTAATAATCGGCGTTATTATACAATACTATTACGATTACCACTCCTTTGTCGTATAACTCGCAAGCTAATGATAATGCGAGACGCATATTATATAACGAATGTCAATTTGTCGATCCTCGTGCTTTTACGGTGTATCAGCGCGTTTGTCAATCCGTAAAAGGGAATAGATTCAAGACCTATATTCGCGATACGCTGATTCACACTGTCTTTCGTCGCGATAATTGTCGCGATTTTTCCTCCTCTTGGCACACTTGTCGTCGCTTGCACTGATGATGCTTCTTCTGTTCATAGGCAAAATGTTGAAATCAGCCTCGCCGCAATACCCGAGCAGAGGATCCGATGCTCGAGTCATTCGTTTGACCACGGATCAAGAAGCTGTTCTCCAGGAGCAGTTCAATAGATGGCCGAGGGCACCTCACACGGCGGATATCGTCCTATTAGCGGCCGAGACAGGACTTTCCGAGGCCGATGTCGAGGTATTTTATACCTCGTTTTTCCTTTTCCCTCCTGAAAAAAGAGATATTATTAATTATTATGATTTTTAAAAAATTCGATGTTCTTTTTTTTTTTTTTTTGCAGGCCTGGTACTCTATCCGATTAGCACAGTGGAGGAAAGAACAGGGTCTGGGAGGAAATCTTGGTTTGCATTAACGTTAACGACCCTTTTCTCGAATGTTGTCTGTGTAACTGTGTACCTGAAAATGTAATACGTGTAAGGATTGCCCGTGAACCTGATAACGATCAATTTCTTTATCCGATCTCTCGTTGCTTCTAGTTTAGCGATTGTATACTCGTGTATTTTATTAATTAAAAGTATACACGATTTATTTATATGTCGTCAATGTGTAGATGATGTTAGAACGATTAAAAAGCGATGGTACCAAAAATTGACATTAAGAAGTAATTGCGGGTAGAAAAAGATACGATACGATAAGGGAATAATTGTAGTTGTTCTCGATTCACGATTTTATTTCACGCTATTTATTTTTTTGATTCTAAAGTAGAAGAGCAAAGTAAAGCGCTCGAGTAAAAATCTCTTTTTCCAAGTGTGTCCCGACATTCGTTTAATCGTAAGTATGTCGCGAAAAAAGAAGACATTACCAGTGAGTATTAATCATAGTGTATGTAAGATCTGGCCGCAGATCGAAAAATGAAATACGTTAGTTGTAACATGTCAGGTACCACAGATGTATTTTAATGCTTTTAAATAGTTATACTAAATAATTATACGAAACACATATTTTAAAATAAAAAAAAGTTTGTATAACTTACTTAAATAAATATTACAAGCAAAGAATGTCAAGTCGTTATAATTTTAAAAAAATGATGAAAAATAAATTAATATTACTGTTGCGTATCACAAATATTGTTTTATTACTTATATAGAATATTTAGAATATACATATAGAATATACATATATTTAAAACAGAAATTAATTATAGCAATTAAACGAAAAAAAAAAAACGAAATCGTTTGTTGTTAAAAATAATTTTAACAATAATATAATTTAATAATATGGAATAATTTTTTAACAAATAATTATTATATATATTACTATTACTATTTACTAATATCAACATCTTTCCCAATTGCATCTTTAATTGATATCAAACCATCTTGTTTCAACATATCATTTAATTCTCGTTTAATTTTTCCTACAACTGGTGGCCCCATAAATATAAATGATGTATAAATTTGTACCAATGAAGCGCCAGCTTTTATTTTGTTATAAGCGTCTGCTCCACTAAATATACCACCAACACCGATAATTGGAATAGTACCCCGGGTTCGTTTATACATATCAGATATCATTGCGGTTGACATATCGGTAAGAGGTGCACCACTGAGTCCTCCGATTTCGCTTTTAAGAGGGCTCGATAAATTATTACGCGTTATTGTAGTATTGCACAATATTAAACCATCTACTTTCGATTTCTCTTCAAGTATTACATTTGCAATGTCCTGCTTCTCGGAATCGGACAAATCTGGAGCGAGTTTCAATAGTAAGGGTTGATTGCTTTGTATAGATTGTCTGAATTTGTTAACTTTTATTAACAAATTTTCTAAATCTTCTTTTCTTTGCAATGCTCTTAATCCAGGAGTATTGGGACTAGATATATTAATTACAAAGTAATCTGCTACATCTGAGAATTTCTTAATACCATCTATATAATCTTGAGTTGCATCTTCTGATGTTTTATTTTTACCCAAATTAACTCCAATGATACCATTAAAGTTCTCACTCTTTTTTAGTTTTTGTAAATATTTCCACACTGTATCATAACCTTTGCTATTAAAACCATATCGATTAATAACTGCATTGTCTTCTAATAATCTAAATAATCTAGGTTTGGAGTTGCCTTCTTGAGGTTTTGGTGTAACCGATCCTGTAAATGTTATAATAAATGTTATAATGTTTAATAATAATATAACGTTTAATTACGATTCATTTTATAATTCTTACCTATTTCTACAAAACTAAATCCTATTTTGTGCAAGCCTTCTATTGCTTCACCCTGTTTATCAAAACCAGCTGCCATCCCTATTGGGTTTTTAAATTTTAAATTCCAAACATCAATAGCAAGAGATGCTGGATCATTTACATTTGGTTTAGATAAAAGACCCCATTTTAAAATTTTCACTGCGAAATTGTGTGTAAATTCGGGATCCATTAATTGTACAAGCGGCATGACAAATTTGTTGTAAATGTTTTCATCACCCTGATAAATGCAGCATCCGGTATAGAATACAGTAGCGGTGCTGGTCACTTTTAAAAATGACTTAAATTTTTCTTTATTGCTCAAACGATGTGCCATTTTAAGATAAAAATACCTCTTTTAAAAAGAAATAATTTTTCGTCGAAAAACATTTAAACTCTTTTTTAAGGTTAAGGTGTGCACAACGTAACGTACATATGTAAATACGTTCAATTCATTATAAAAACTTTACATCGCAACCATAAATAATTAAACCATATTCTATTTTTAAATATATATTTCAAATATTTCTGCGTTGTTGAAACATGTTACAGCAATGAAAAATTCTTTGATAAATATATAAATAACTTTTAGTAGAATCAAAGAAAAAAATCTCGGCGAGTAAAATGCTTTACGTAAAAATAAAAACATACATTATTACATAAAATCAAACGTATAAAATATTAAATATATTTGCATGAAATTGTCTTTATATCTCTATGAATTTGATATTTAAAAAAAATATTTAAAAAAATCATTTCTAATTAGTCTCAACTTAAGAAAGGAAGATAGATGTTAGCATTCATATATGTTCTTTGCGCCGCATGGTGGCGTTCTAATCTGTTGTGATTGGCTAATTTAGCCATATGTTATACAATGCCATCTCGTGAATATTGCACGAATTAATGATTGTTATTGTTTACCGAGATGATCTAATACGTATTTTCGATTCTAAAACGATTCGAAATCCAGGTATTTTAAATAATATCAATAAATCACGAAAATATATTATATTCACACTATATAAATATACTAATATAAATTTTTAGACTCTTCTATATCGTTAAAATATTTGCTTTAATATAAAAATCTTAAGAATTTACCATCACTCGTAGAACTGAAAGATACGACATCGAAGTTTTTAAAATAGTCATATACGTTTGCATGTTGACAACAAAGAATTTCCCAGCTGTCAAGAGAACTGGACGTTGAGTTTTCATAATAATAAAAATAATATCTTTCAATACATTTTTCGGCATATTATACCAAATACAAAAGTATACCGAATTACCGATGCCTTCAGTTTGAGTTTTCAAATATTCACCTACGTAACTATATGCGAACAATTGTATCAAAAGAATGGATATCTCCGCAAGTATTTTTATCGTTAAGACGACATTTCCAAAAGTCAAAGTGAGAATAAGTTGAAATCCTAGAAATAATTATTTCTATAGATTTTATAGATCAAACACACTTAAAGCTTTATCAAATGCCATGAAGTAAAATAAAAATGATACAAATATTCACCAGTTGTACATATAAGTACACAACTTGAAAAAAGTTGTATGACCAAAATAAAACTAACTGTCTCGTTCAACATTTTACTTAGATTCAACAAGTAAATATGCCTTTTTGTTAATAAAATAATATGTTCCATTGTTCTTTCGTTTGCATCGGACAATTTATTATACTTTAGTTTCAAAATCTCCACTTGGCCGCACAAATGAAAAACAATACCGAAAAACAACGAATCGCTACCTATATATAAAAAAAAAATATTTTCATAAAAAAATATTTAATATAATGGATGATTACCTAGATTCCCAGTACTCGTGAATAATAGCATCATGTATTCTACGATGAAAACCATGAAACCCAAATTTTCCGGCATATTTATAATCGCCAATGCATTTTTAGATGGAATAGGATATTTTATTACACTTTCTTCCGTTATATTAATCAATTCTTTTTTGTCTCCAGCAAGCATAGGCACAGTCATGAAAAGCGTGGACGCGATAAACGAGCAAGATATTAAACTGGCGCATGCTACTCTACTCATGTAAGCATGTCGGCGCATGATCACTCGATTTTCTTCACTGTTCAATTCGTTGTAATCCTTAATCGCAGAAGAAAAATTCGAAACGAGTCCTATAGAACGTATACGAAAACACATCACCTTTGCCATTGCTAAAATGCCGCAATTAATTAATAGAAGAGCATCTAGGTTATTTTCTGCGTTGCTCCTGTCCAAATATAATTCCACTTGTAAAATCACTATCATCAATAACTGCAACAAAACGATTCTTAAACACAATTAATCATAACTTGTGAGACACAATGATACAAAGATTTTATACCAAAAGTGAAATTGAAAATATGGTACGTGAGATTGAAAATATTTCGTGCACCTGAAAAGGCCAAGTGCCTACGGGCCATGACAGGAATTTCAACGGAGTCATAGCGTAAGTGAAGTCTTTGTTCGATGTTGTCTTCATTTTTTTAGAACGATGTAAGAAATCGTCAATCGATCATACTCGGTAATACTTGAATACAATGTATTCTTTTTCTCCCTTTTCTTTTTGCACATAACGACGCGTTGTATTTTTCGAATCATGTTTTATTCAGCTGTAATTACTTAACTATCCGTCGTCCAAGACGTTTCCATTTCTATATCAACTGTCGTCACCAAGAAAATTCCGACGGAAGTTATCACTTTTATAGATACTTTATTGCTATACTTTGACATGAATAATAGAAACCCATGAGCATTTGCTTCGAAAATTGGTCTAAGTTTCTAAAGGTTCGTTTAAAAAAAAATATTCTTTGCAAGCCAGGAATATAACATTTGAGAAAGGAAAGAACTGTTTTCTTATTACTAAAAGATCTTATTTCTTAGAAGAAAAGTAGAAAACAACTGAAATTGCGATTACCTTCAACATGAGCAAACGATGCAATTTTAAATGGAATTCTTAGAAATTGAATTGTCGGAAATTTCTTTTTACGAGTATACTTTAGTCCAAGTTAAAATTCTATCATCTAATAGAATATAATATATTCCATGCATTAATATTACGTAAATATTTGAAAAAAATATCTTGTTGTTTTTCCTTATGGAATAACAATAATATTATTTTTATTACAAGGGACATATCAAAAATTGTTAAATAAATACGTAATATTTATAAAAAAATAATTTTCACATACCCATCATTATTTTTCAGATCGATAGCTTGAGAAGGCTAAACTTCAAAAACAAGTTTCCCAACTTACTTAGATAAATTTCGACGACAAATTACCAGTATCAGATTTCTCAATATGCATCTCATCAAATTGTAATAAATGAAAGACAGGTTGTGCAGTTTCTTTGATTTCCAGTATAAGTATTTGCATCTATTACGTCAAAATCACAATTTTTAATGCATTAATGTTGTTCTTTATGTTCAAAAAAAAAAAATATGAAATTGTTTAAATATTGAAACATTAACATGTAAGTATATAAGAAATATAAAAAAAAGGTAACTACATTAAATTTTAGAAATATTTCAAGAGCCTTTTTCGCTATTAGGATAATTTTTTCTTAATACATAAACTTTTAAAATTAATGCTTTCAAATTTTTCAAAAATTTTAATAAAATATATATTTATATATATTTTATGCATAAATTTATAGAGAATATTTTTCGATAGAAAGAACACAAAATCAATTTATAAAATTTAAAAAAATTATAAAATTGAAATTTTAAGTTTTTGATCTAATTTTATATACTCACTAGTTTATATGTTTATCTTTTATAATTCTTATTTTTTCAAAACTCTATATTCTTTCTATATTTTTCTTGATTCTAGAAATACTTATCTTTGCTCATTTCTTGTTTGCATTTTTCTTTTATCGAACAATGTTTTTTACAATTTTTTTTAATCGTAAATATATCAAAAGTATTTAAAGCAAGTCGTTTTTAAAAAATATATTTTTTTGCCGAAAAACGATTTCAATTTTCTTTGATGATTAGAAAGTATGCATAATATATCTAAATACGTGCATTGCAAAATAATACAGTATAATTATATTATAGTTCTAATTAATTAAACCATTCTATACTTATATATACATATATTTATACGTATGTATTTCAAATATTTCGCAATTAAGACACGTGATTGCAATGAAAGATCTATCGGTAATAAATACATATTATTAAATCAAACATATAAAACATTAAGTATTATATTTTACATAGAGTGTCATTCTTTGCACGAATAATTATGCATTCGAATAATCATTTTAAATTATTTACAACTAAGTTTAAAAGAGATATATTAATATTCATGTGATTTTTGTGCCACGTGATGATGTTGTGATTTGCTAATCTGCATTGTTATTTGTGATTGGTGTCAGACCATGTATGTCAGATAACATTACAGTATCATCTGTTATTCATTTTAAAAATTTATTATAGTAAACTGTTCATTTATTGTAGTAAATTAATTATCATTTATTAAAATTCATTTATTGTAGTAAACTGAAACGATATCTATTGCACAATATGATCATTTTTCAACACTGAAACGATTCAAATTAAAGTAATTTTGATATTAATAGATAATCAAGAATATATTTAATATATTTAATACTTTATTGTGCTTTATTACATTAATATAAATTTTTAGATTTTTTTTATGTTGTTAAAATATTTGCTTCAATATAAAAATCTTAAGAATTTACCATCACTCGGAGAACTGAAAGATAGGACATCGAAGTTTTTAAAATACTCATATATGTTTCCATGTTGACAACAAAGAATTTCCCGGCCGTCAAGAGAACAGGATGCTGAGCTCTCATAATGATAAAAATAATGTTCTGTGACACATTTTTTGGCATATCGTACCAAGTACAAAAATACACCGAATTACCAAGATCTTCAGTTTGAGTCTTTAAATATTCACCCACGTAGCTATATGCGAATAATTGTATCAAGAGCACGCACATTGCGATACATATTCTTATTGTTCTGACGATATTTCCAATGCTCAAAGCGAGAATAAATTCAAATCCTGGAAACAGAAGTAAATTTCTATAAATGGAACGCACTTAAATAAAATTATACTATTATGTTTAATCAAACGTTATTTTATTAAGTGAAATAAAAATTTTGCAAATATTCACCAGTTGTACATATAAGCACACAGCTTAAAAATAATTGTACAACCAAAATAGAACTAATTGTTTCATTCAACATGTTGCTTAGTTTCAACAAGTAAATGTGCCTCTTGGTCAATAAAGTAATATGTTTCCTTGTTCTTTCGTTCTCATTTGATAATTTATTATATTCTAGTCTCAAAATCTCCACTTGGCCGCACAAATGAAAGGCAATACCAAGAAACAACGAATCACTACCTAATAAATATTTAAATAATATGAAACGAAACATTTTGATGCCAAAACAAGTGTGATATTTATGCTAAGTGTGATAAATCATTACCCAGATTTCCAGTACTCGTAAGTAGAAGCATTAAGTATTCTACAATAAAAATCACGAAGTACATATTTTCCGGCATATTCATAAGTGTTAGTGTATTTTCAGATGGCATAGGATATTTTATTGCACTTTCTTTCGTTACATTAATCACTTCTTCTTCATCCCCAGCAAGCATAGGCATAGTCATGATAAGCGTGGAGCCGGCATACGAGCAAAATATTAAAATGGCACACGCTACTCTGCCCATGTAAGCGTGTCGGCGCACAATCACTCGATTTTCTTCACTGTTTAATTCGTTGTAATCCTTAACCGCCGAAATAAAATTGGAGACAAGTCCTATGGAACGTACACGAAAACCCATCACTTTTGCCACTGCTAAAATGGCGCAATTAATTAATAAAACAGCTTCTAGATTATTTTCCGCGTTGCTTCTGTCCAAATATAATTCCACTTGTAAGATCACTATCATTAATAACTGCAATAGAACGATACTTAGATGCGATAATAAGTTAAGGAACACAATGATATAAAAACTTTATACCAAAAGTAAAATTGAGAATATGGTACGTGTGAGTGAAAATGTATCGTACACTTGAAAAGGCCAAGTTCCTACGGGCCACGACAGAAATTTCAATGGAGTCATAGCATAAGCAAAGTCTTTGTTCAATGTTGTCTTCATTTTCTTAGGACGGTGTAGGAAATCGTCAATCGATCATACTCGGTAATACTTGAATACAATGCAACTTTTCCTTCTTTTTCTTTTTCTACATACGGACTGACGCGTTGTATTTTTCGATTTCATCTTTTATTCAATCATAATCACTTAACTATCTATCGTTCAAGATGTTACCATTTTTATATCAACTGCGCGTAAGAAAATTCCGATGGATGTTATTACGTTGTAAACACTTTATTCCTTATACTTCGATATGAATAATAGAATCCCATGTCAGTGAGCATTTGCTTCTAAAATTCTGAGTTTCTGAAGGTTCATTCGAAAAAAAACATTTTTTGCAAGCTAGGAATATAACAATGTGAAAAAGTAAAGAATTGTTCTCTTAAAATTAACTAAAAAATCTTATTTCTTAGAAAAAAAATAGAAAACAATTTTAATGTTACTTAAATCGCAATTACTTTTAACACGAGCAAATAATGCAAATTGGAATTCTTAAAAAATTCTTAAAAATTTTATTATTGGAAATATCTTTTTATCAGTATATATTTTGTCGATATATTATGCTGATAAATTATAATATGTTGCGTGCATTATGCAAAAATTTGAAAATATCTCTTGTTTTTCCTCATGGAATAATATCATCTTTGTTATAAATGATATATCGAACATGAAGAGATCGAGATTGCGAGATGAATATATAACATTTATAATCAAATAATTTTCATATGTCCATCATTATTTTTAAGACGGACAGAAAGAAGGCTTAACTTTTCAGTATCTTTGAAGATAAATATGTTTATAATAACAGCTTCTTAACTGTCATAGTAAATTGAATTTCGACGACAAATTACCTCGATATATTATTCCATATGCTCTCCCAGAAGATGGTTTATGGCGATTTCTTCAGTTACCAGTGTAGGCGTAAAGTAATCTATTGTACATATACAATATCACGATTTTCAATGCATCGATGTTGATCTTTGTATTAAAGAAAGACTAAAAAAATGAAATTTGATTGGAATATGGCATTAAAATGTAAGTAAGAAACATCAGACAAATAACTACATTAAATTATAGAAGTTATAGAAATTATAGAAATATTTTTGTTATTTTTTGTTATTAAGATTTTTTCTAATATATTGATCTTTCAAAATAATACTTCAAAAATTTTGATAAAATTTTGCATTTTTATGTATTATATATATTTATAAATATTTTTATATATATTTTATATACATTTCCACATGTCATAGAAAATATTTATATATAAATTTGTAAAAAATATAATTCGATAAAAAGAAATTTTGAACTGAATTTTTGTCAAAAATTTCTAATTTATATTAGAAGAATATAATATAAAAAAAATTTTTGATAAAAACATATCTTTTTAATCTAATTTTATATATTTAACTATGAAATATTTATAGTTTTTGTAAATTATTAAAACATAAGTTATAATCTTCTACTATCTTCATTTTTCGCAATATTATAATATTTTTATATATTTTTCTTAATTTTATAAATACTTATCTTTACTATTTACTTCTACTTACACTTGTATTTTACAACTTGTATATTTTTTTACAATTTCCTTAAAGATTTCAAAAGTATTTAGAGCAATTATTTAAGTCTTTTTTTTTAAAATAAATATACTTTTTTGAAAAATCATTTCAATCTTATTTGAAGATTACGTAATATATAGTACATAATATATACGTTTATTACAAAACAATAATATGATCACATCACAATTCTAATTAATTAAACATTTTATATTTACATGTATTTACATGTATTACATATGTATGTATTTCAAATATTTCCACGCATTTAAAACAAAAATGTGATTATGATGCAAGATTTAAGTTAATAAATATATATTATTGAATCAAACATAAAATATTATTCATTTACAATTGCATAAGTTTATAGAATATTGTTATGCGTTTAATAATTGAATAATCTAATTATCATTTTCAACTAATTATAAGAGAGGAATGCTAGTATCTATGTATATTTTTCTTATGCCACACGTGTGTGTGGCACTACTGATCTACAGTTGTTGTTTGTTGTATTATCCACATAAAACAACATCACAGTGCCATCTGTTATTCATTTCGAAAATCATCATTTATTACAGTCTACTGAGAGGATACATTTTCAATACTAAAAAGATTCGAATTCGAGTATTTGATGTTAATGGATCACTAAGAATGTATCATTTAATATTTTATTGTATTTTATTACACTAATATAAATTTATTATACTAATACAAATTTTTGGATTCTTTTATGTCTTTAAATTATTTTGCTGCAATATAAAAATCTTAAGAATTTACCATCACTCGAAGAACTGAAAGATAAGACATCGAAGTTTTTAAAATACTTAGATATGTTTCCATGTTAACAACAAAGATTCTTCCAGCTGTCAAGAGAGCTGGACGTTGAGCTTTCATAATAATAAAAATAATATCTTTCGATATATTTTTTGGCATATAATACCAAGTGCAGAAATACACCGAATTACCGACGCTTTCAGTTTGAGTCTTCAAATATTCACCCACATAACTGTATGCGAATAATTGTATCAAGAGTACGATCATTATTAAAAGTATTTTTGTCGTCAAGACAATATTTCCAATGGCCAAAGCGAGAATAAATTGAAATCTTATAAAAGAAATAGATATCAGTCACTATTATAGCACACTTAAATAATATATTGTTACGTTTGTCAGTTCACTTCGTGAAGTGAAAAATACGAATATTCACCAGTTGTACATATAAGAACACAGCTTGAAAAAAGTTGGATGAGCAGAATAGTACCAATTGTCTCATTCAGCATCTTACTCAGATTCAACAAATAAATATGCCTTTTGATTAATAAAACAAAATGTTCCGTTATTTTTTCATTTTTGTTGAACAATTTACTATATTCTAGTTTCAAGATCTCCACTTGGCCGCACAAATGAAAAACAATACCGAAAAACACTGAATCGCTACCTAATAGATAAAGAAAAAGAAGATATTTTAATACAAAATATTTGATACGATGAATCATTACCTAGATTCCCAATACTCGTAAGTAGCAGCATCGAGTATTCTACGATAAAAATCACGAAGTACATATTTTCCGGCATATTTATAAGTCTTAATGTATTTTCAGATGGCATAGGATATTTTATTGCACTTTCTTCCGTTACATTAATCACTTCTTCTTCATCCCCAGCAAACATAGGCACAGTTATGAAAAGCGTGGAGCAAATATACGAGCAACATATTAAACTAGCGCATGCAACTCTACCCATGTAAGCGTGCCGACGCATAATCACGCGATTTTCTTCATCGTTTGATTCGTTGTAATCCTTAACCGCAGAAATAAAATTGGAGACAAGTCCTATGGAACGTACACGAAAACTCATCACTTTTGCCACTGCCAAAATGCCGCAATTGATTAACAGAAGAGCATCTAGGTTATTCTCCGCGTTGCTTCTGTCCAAATATAATTCCACTTGCACGATTGCTATCATAAGCAACTGGAATAAAACGATTCTTAGAGGAAATTAATCATAACTTGAGAGACACAGTGATACTGATCGTACCAAAAGTGAAACTGAAAATATGGTACGTGTGAGGGAAAATGTGTCGTGCACTTGAAAAGGCCAAGTTCCTACGGGCCATGACAAGAATTTCAACGGGGTCATAGCGTAAGCGAAGTCTTTGTTCGATGTTGTCTTCATTTTCTCGCCACGGTATAAGAAATCTTCAATCGATCATACTCGGTAACACTTGAATACAATGTATCCTTTTCCTCTCTTTCCTTTTTGCGACGCGTTGTATTTTTTTGAATCATCTTTTATTCAGCTGTAATCACTTGACTGTCTATCGTCCAAGACGATTCTATTTCTATATCAACTGTCACTAAGAAAATTCCAACTGAAGTTGTTACTTTCGTAGGCAGTTACTTTATCGCTATACTTCGATATGAATAATAGAAGCCCATGAGCATTTGCTTCGAAAATTGGTCCGAGTTTCTAAAGGCTCATTCAAAAAAATATTAACAAGTTGTTTGTAAGTTAAGAGTATGACAAAATGGAAACATGAAGAACTGTTTTCTCGTAACTAAAAGTCCTATTTCTTAAAAGAGAAGAGTACAACTGACAGTATGAAAATGTAAGTATGTGTAAGAATGTAAAAATTATAAAAAAATATAACTACATAATTATGGAAATATTTCACGAGTCTTTTTTTGTGTTTTTAAATAAAATGCTTTCAAATTTTTTCTTTCACAAATTTTGATAAAATTTTACATCTTCGTGCGCATTTCTAATTTTATGTACTTATCTGTGACGTACTTATCATTTTTATACTTATCTTTTAAAACTTTTATTTTTTTACAATCTTGATGCACTTTTTGTATATTTTTTTTAATTCTAGAAATACTTACTTTTGTTATTCATTTTTTATCTGCATTTTTGTTTTACAATTATTATAAAACATTTATAAATATTTTTTTTTACAATTTTCTTAATTTTAAAGATTTCAAAAGTATTTAGAGTAATTAATACTTCTATTACACTAATCATTTTTTTAAATAAATATAATTCGTTGAAAAACCATTTCAATTTTTTGTGAGATTAAAAATGCGCGTGTAATATATGTAAATACATTCAATTTAATAAAAAATGGTAATAAGATTATATCACAATTTTAATTAATTAAATCACATTTTATGTTAACATTATGTACTTACATATATTATATATATATATAATATTTAAATATTTCCGCACATTCAAAACAGAAATGTGATTATAATGCACAATTTATCATTAATAAATACACGTTAAATCAAATATATTAAACATTCAACATTTATATTTACAAAAGATTATAGAATCGTTATATGTTTCATATTTGAATAATTTAATCATTTTTAATCATTTTGAACTAATTATAACAGAAGTATGCTAATATTCATATATGATGTTTGTGCATGGTGGCAGTGTGATCTACCGATCTGTATTTATTATTTGTTGTATTAGCTAATGTAGCCATATCATACAACATCACAGTGCCATCTGTTAGTCATTTCGAAAATTATTATCTATTATAATAGACAGAAACTATATCTGTTTCTATTATCATATTTTTGATAATAAAAATGATTAGAATTTGAGTATTTGACATTAATAGATCACGAAATAATATTTAATATTTTATTGTGCTTTATTATACTGATATAAATTTTTAAATTCTTTTAGATTCGTAAAATATTTGCTTCGATATAAAAATCTTAAGAATTTACCATCACTCGTAGAACTGAAAGATAGGACATCGAAGTTTTTAAAATACTCATATATGTTTCCATGTTGACAACAAAGAATTTCCCGGCCGTCAAGAGAACAGGATGCTGAGCTCTCATAATGATAAAAATAATGTTTTGTGACACATTTTTTGGCATATCGTACCAAGTAGAGAAATACACCGAATTACCGAGATCTTCAGTTTGAGTCTTCAAATATTCACCCACGTAGCTATACGCGAATAATTGTATCAAGAGCACGCACATTACTATAAATGTTTTTATTGTCATGACGATATTTCCAATGCTCAAAGCGAGAATAAATTCAAATCCTAGAAACAGATGTAAATTGAATGCACTTAAATAAAATTATGCTATTATATTTAATCAAACGTTATTTTATTAAGTGAAATAAAAATTTTGCAAATATTCACCGGTTGTACATATAAGCACACAACTTGAAAATAATTGTACGACCAAAATAGAGCTAATTGTTTCATTCAACATGTCGCTTAGTTTCAACAAGTAAATGTGCCTCTTGGTCAATAAAGTAATATGTTTCGTTGTTCTTTCGTTCTCGTTGGACAATTTATTATATTCTAGTCTCAAAATCTCCACTTGGCCGCACAAATGAAAAGCAATACCAAAAAACAACGAATCACTACCTAATAAATATTTAAAATGAAACGAAACATTTTGATGCCAAAATCATATCCCGACAACAAGTGTGATATTTATGCTAGGTGTGATAAATCATTACCTAGATTTCCAGTACTCGTAAGTAGGAGCATTAAGTATTCTACAATAAAAATCACGAAGTACATATTTTCCGGTATATTGATAAGTGTTAGTGTATTTTCAGATGGCATAGGATATTTTATTGCACTTTCTTCCGTTACATTAATCACTTCTTCTTCATCCCCAGCAAGCATAGGCACAGTCATGAAAAGCGTGGAGCCGACGTACGAGCAAAATATTAAACTGGCGCACGCTACTCTGCCCATGTAAGCGTGTCGCCGCATGATCACTCGATTTTCTTCACTGTTCAATTCGTTGTAATCCTTAACCGCAGAAGTAAAATTGGAGATGAGTCCTACGGGCCGTACATGAAAACACATTACCTTTGCCACTGCCAAAATGCCGCCATTGATTAATACTAGAGCGTCTAGATTATTTTCCGCGTTGCTTCTGTCCAAATATAATTCCACTTGTAGGATCGCTAGCATTAGCAACTGCGATAAAACGATACTTAAAAGCCGACGATCATTTGTTGAGAGACATAATGACGCAAAAACTTCATACCACAAGAAAAGTTGTGAACATGGCACGTATGATCGAGAATGTATCGAACACCTGAAGCGGCCAGGTACCTAAGGGCCATGACAAGAACTTCAACGGGGTCATAGCGTAAGCGAAGTCTTTGTTCGATGTTGTCTTCATTTTCTCAGCACGATACAAGAAATTGTCAATCGATCATACTTAAGTAACACTTGATTACAATGTAACTTCTCCTTCCTTTTCTTATTCCACATAGTTGCGCGTTGTATTTTTCGAATCATCTTTTATTCAACTATAATCACTTAACTATCTATCGTTCAAGATGTTACCATTTCTATGTCAACTGCGTGTTATCAAGAAAATTTCGTCGCAAGTTGTTACGGTGTAGATACTTTGTTGTTATACTTTGATATAAATAATAAAAAAAGCTCATGAACATTTGCTTCGAAAATTGGTCTGTGTTTTTTATTTTACATTCAACATTCATTGCGAGTAGTTGGACTGAAAATGTGAAAAAATTCGAAGAACCTATTTTCTTATAGAGAAAAGAAAAGTAGAAAACAACTGAAGTATATAAATTCTATTATTTTTTTTAGGAGAAAAATTTCTTTAGGGAAGAATTTCTTTAGTAGGAAAATATCTCGTTGTTTTTTCTCATCGAATAGTAATAATACCATCTTTATTACACCACTGAAGAGTATATCAAATATTGTGAGATGAATACATAATATTGATAATCAAACAATTTTCATGTGTCCATCATTACTCTCAGGACGGATAGATAGGAGGTTGAACTTTTTAGTATCTCTTTGAAGGTGAATATATTCATGAAAACGAATTTACCAGCTGTCACATGGTAAGAGGAATTTCCACGACAGATTATCAGTATTAGATCTCTTGCTGTGCGTCCTCGAGATTGGTACCAGAATGAATGGAAGGCGGCTTGTGCGATTTCTTCGGTTCGAGATTCGAGAGCGTCGCCGGCGTAGGCGTAGAGATATAACTGTATGAGTAAAGTTATCATCAGGACCACGCTTTTTAATGCACCGATGTTGTCCTTTGTGCTCAAGCAGACCAAAAATACAAAACCTGCTTTCAGAAACAATACAACAGTATTAAAAGGTGAGTATATAACAATGTAAGAAGTATAAAATTACATTTCTGGAACAATTTCACAAATTATTTTCGTAAATATTATTTTCTCCTAATACAAAGTCCCAAAAATTCATTTGCTATCAAAAATTTGCTATCAAGAAACATTCCTAAACTTCTACTTCTCAAAATTTTGCATTTTCATGGTATATTTTATATATATTGAATTTTCATACACATCACATACATCACGCAGTCACAAATGAAAAGTTTGTTACGATTTACATCATTTATGAAATAATTCCTTAAATGAACTTTTTTGTTTAAAAAATTAAATTTATGTTTGTTAAAAAATACAATGTTGAATAGAAATATGCAAGATTGAAATATTACTTTCAACTTCCCATTTTCCCAAATCTTGAGATTTCAATTTTTAGTCACAAATTCGATTTTGTATCAGGAGAACATGAGGCGATAGGAGGTCGCTCGAGAAATTTTTCCCGGAAGAGCACGCACATTACTATAAATGTTTTTATTGTCATGACGATATTTCCAATGCTCAAAGCGAGAATAAATTCAAATCCTAGAAACAGATGTAAATTGAATGCACTTAAATAAAATTATGCTATTATATTTAATCAAACGTTATTTTATTAAGTGAAATAAAAATTTTGCAAATATTCACCGGTTGTACATATAAGCACACAACTTGAAAATAATTGTACGACCAAAATAGAGCTAATTGTTTCATTCAACATGTCGCTTAGTTTCAACAAGTAAATGTGCCTCTTGGTCAATAAAGTAATATGTTTCGTTGTTCTTTCGTTCTCGTTGGACAATTTATTATATTCTAGTCTCAAAATCTCCACTTGGCCGCACAAATGAAAAGCAATACCAAAAAACAACGAATCACTACCTAATAAATATTTAAAATGAAACGAAACATTTTGATGCCAAAATCATATCCCGACAACAAGTGTGATATTTATGCTAGGTGTGATAAATCATTACCTAGATTTCCAGTACTCGTAAGTAGGAGCATTAAGTATTCTACAATAAAAATCACGAAGTACATATTTTCCGGTATATTGATAAGTGTTAGTGTATTTTCAGATGGCATAGGATATTTTATTGCACTTTCTTCCGTTACATTAATCACTTCTTCTTCATCCCCAGCAAGCATAGGCACAGTCATGAAAAGCGTGGAGCCGACGTACGAGCAAAATATTAAACTGGCGCACGCTACTCTGCCCATGTAAGCGTGTCGCCGCATGATCACTCGATTTTCTTCACTGTTCAATTCGTTGTAATCCTTAACCGCAGAAGTAAAATTGGAGATGAGTCCTACGGGCCGTACATGAAAACACATTACCTTTGCCACTGCCAAAATGCCGCCATTGATTAATACTAGAGCGTCTAGATTATTTTCCGCGTTGCTTCTGTCCAAATATAATTCCACTTGTAGGATCGCTAGCATTAGCAACTGCGATAAAACGATACTTAAAAGCCGACGATCATTTGTTGAGAGACATAATGACGCAAAAACTTCATACCACAAGAAAAGTTGTGAACATGGCACGTATGATCGAGAATGTATCGAACACCTGAAGCGGCCAGGTACCTAAGGGCCATGACAAGAACTTCAACGGGGTCATAGCGTAAGCGAAGTCTTTGTTCGATGTTGTCTTCATTTTCTCAGCACGATACAAGAAATTGTCAATCGATCATACTTAAGTAACACTTGATTACAATGTAACTTCTCCTTCCTTTTCTTATTCCACATAGTTGCGCGTTGTATTTTTCGAATCATCTTTTATTCAACTATAATCACTTAACTATCTATCGTTCAAGATGTTACCATTTCTATGTCAACTGCGTGTTATCAAGAAAATTTCGTCGCAAGTTGTTACGGTGTAGATACTTTGTTGTTATACTTTGATATAAATAATAAAAAAAGCTCATGAACATTTGCTTCGAAAATTGGTCTGTGTTTTTTATTTTACATTCAACATTCATTGCGAGTAGTTGGACTGAAAATGTGAAAAAATTCGAAGAACCTATTTTCTTATAGAGAAAAGAAAAGTAGAAAACAACTGAAGTATATAAATTCTATTATTTTTTTTAGGAGAAAAATTTCTTTAGGGAAGAATTTCTTTAGTAGGAAAATATCTCGTTGTTTTTTCTCATCGAATAGTAATAATACCATCTTTATTACACCACTGAAGAGTATATCAAATATTGTGAGATGAATACATAATATTGATAATCAAACAATTTTCATGTGTCCATCATTACTCTCAGGACGGATAGATAGGAGGTTGAACTTTTTAGTATCTCTTTGAAGGTGAATATATTCATGAAAACGAATTTACCAGCTGTCACATGGTAAGAGGAATTTCCACGACAGATTATCAGTATTAGATCTCTTGCTGTGCGTCCTCGAGATTGGTACCAGAATGAATGGAAGGCGGCTTGTGCGATTTCTTCGGTTCGAGATTCGAGAGCGTCGCCGGCGTAGGCGTAGAGATATAACTGTATGAGTAAAGTTATCATCAGGACCACGCTTTTTAATGCACCGATGTTGTCCTTTGTGCTCAAGCAGACCAAAAATACAAAACCTGCTTTCAGAAACAATACAACAGTATTAAAAGGTGAGTATATAACAATGTAAGAAGTATAAAATTACATTTCTGGAACAATTTCACAAATTATTTTCGTAAATATTATTTTCTCCTAATACAAAGTCCCAAAAATTCATTTGCTATCAAAAACTTGCTATCAAGAAACATTCCTAAACTTCTACTTCTCAAAATTTTGCATTTTCATGGTATATTTTATATATATTGAATTTTCATACACATCACATACATCACGCAGTCACAAATGAAAAGTTTGTTACGATTTACATCATTTATGAAATAATTCCTTAAGTGAACATTTTTGTTTAAAAAATTAAATTTATGTTTGTTAAAAAATACAATGTTGAATAGAAATATGCAAGATTGAAATATTACTTTCAACTTCCCATTTTCCCAAATCTTGAGATTTCAATTTTTAGTCACAAATTCGATTTTGTATCAGGAGAACATGAGGCGATAGGAGGTCGCTCGAGAAATTTTTCCCGGAATTTTTGGCAGTTCCTGGAAATGACGTCAAATTCTCAGAACCGCCGAAATTCTAGGAAAATGACGTCAAATTCTTGGAATTTTCAGGATTCTTGGAGATGACGTCAAATTCCTAGAATTTGCCAAATTCTGGCACGAGTGTGAAATTTTTGGCCAAAAATTCGACTTTGTATCAGGAGAATATGAGTCGACAGGAGGTCGCTCGATAAACTTTTCCCGGAATTATTGGCAGTTCCTGGAAATGACGTCAAATTCTCAGAACCGCGGAAATTCTAGGAAAATGACGTCAAATTCTTGGAATTTTCAGGATTCTTGGAAATGACGTCAAATTCTTAGAATTTGCCAAATTCTGGAACGAGTGTGAAATTTTTGGCCAAAAATTCGATTTTGTATCAGGAGAATATGAGTCGACAGGAGGTCGTTCGAGAAACTCTTCCCGGAATTTTCGGCAGTTCCTGGAAATGACGTCAAATTCTCAGAACCGCCGAAATTCTAGGAAAATGACGTCAAATTCTTGGAATTTTCAGGATTCTTGGAAATGACGTCAAATTCTTAGAATTTGCCAAATTCTGGAACGAGTGTGAAATTTTTGGCCAAAAATTCGATTTTGTATCAGGAGAATATGAGTCGACAGGAGGTCGTTCGAGAAACTCTTCCCGGAATTTTCGGCAGTTCCTGGAAATGACGTCAAATTCTCAGAACCGCCGAAATTCTAGGAAAATGACGTCAAATTCTTGGAATTTTCAGGATTCTTGGAAATGACGTCAAATTCCTAGAATTTGCCAAATTCTGGAACGAGTGTGAAATTTTTGGCCGAAAATTCGATTTTGTATCAGGAGAACATGAGTCGATAGGAGGTCGCTCGAGAAATTTTTCCAGGAATTTCGTCAGTTCCTGGAAATGATAGCAACTTCTTGGAATTTTATATATTCTTAAAATTTTCAGCTAATTCCTGAAATTTTTGATATTCTTTAAGTAAATTTTATTCAATATTGTATAATTTTTTATTTTTAATGAATTTTTTCCTTATTACTTACCTTTATATACTTACCTTTATATACTTACCTTTTTATACTTACCTTACACAGCTTTCATTCTTCGCAATATTGCACATTTTTTAATCATTTTTCTTAAATCTAAAATACTTACCTTTATTACTTACCATTTATCTACTATCTTTGCTTTATTGAATATTTTTATTCTTTTTACAAGTTTTTTAATTGTAGGAAGCTCAGAATTTGATTGAACCATGTGTCTCTATCATTCGAAATTTCTCGTTTATTTTTGATATTAATATTAAAAGAAATATTTGAAATAAAAGTCGAAGGGTTTCATGATAAACGCATTCTGATATTATCAGATACGAAATAATTTACAATATTAGTATATACGTCTCATGAAACACCGTTCAACTTTTATTCAAAACATTTGTCAATATTATTGAAAACAAGTGAGACGAGATTGAGATTTTACTGTGAACGTGTAATAAGAAAGCAATAAATCTTACCTTCCACACAAATCAGCAATGCGCTCATCAATAATTGTACAAATATAATCATGTTGAAGGTCTGTTCTAAATCGTTGACGAGTACCGCGAGTTGGCAATGCCGTTTCACGATCGGACCGATCTTTCTCCCGTCTACAAACTCGATTTTGGCAATGTTCGTCTTGAGGATCTCGAATTGGCCGCACAGGTGCATAGTTAAACTAAAGAACAATCCATCGTTGCCGCAATGAGCAACCGCGTTGACGAAAATGAATATTCCTTGCAATGCTAGTACGCATACGTGATGGAGCAAAGGCAACGAGCCGAACACGCAATAGGATGCTAGGAAATAATTCAATTTCAAAGGAGTGTCCGGATTCATCGATGAATTTCTCGAGTTTTGAAACATCTAGATGGAAAAAATTGTTCGAGTATCAGTTTCGATTTTAGAATAAAATTGGCAAATTGCTCTTTTCTTTTTTTTTAAACAATATCGCATTTTACCTGTCCTCAAAGAGAATTATTATTCTCCCGTAATGAAATCGCGTCGAAATCGAAAGACAATAAGATTCTGACGAACCTGGAACGGCAGAATATCTCCAAAAGGCAAGGCTTTGACGATAAAAGAAAATCCGGAAGCGTAGCCCAGATAAAGTATCATCAGAGAGACGATTCGTCCTTTCTTAAGGTATTCCGTCATAATGTATTCGTGGCGGGAATCGTGAACGGTCGACCAATCTTCCACCACTGAATTAATAAGAACGCAAGTGTGTTTCGAATTCAAACGTAAGATAAAAAGTTTGGCGAGGCTGATGACGGCGGAAAGATCCATCACGAATGCGTCCATCGTGTCGTCGATGTCGAGGCAATGGCGATAGATTTCCAGAGACAGGATGTAGATAATACCGATCTACGATCAATTACAAAGAGGTGCTTAAGGACCCTTAAAACTCGCCACACTTTTCCATCTTACCTGCGTCGTCACCGCGAATATCCATCGGCCGAAAAACGTATTTTCACCGTTCGAAGGCCAGATACCAATTATTTTTAGCACCATCTTTTGTACCATAAAATTACGAATGCGCCTGTCGATCCACTCCTTTCTCTTCCCCATCGTCCCGAGATCAGATTCGGTGTTACGCAATTCGTTTCGCGGCGACGCTCATCTACTTTCCACTACCTCGATCTCGTATATGTACCGCGGCGCGTGTATACGAACGAAAGTCACGCCTACTTACGTGCATATACCTCCGTCTCACGTCTTTGATCTTTTATTCACGCGGACACGTACGGTATTACGTGCGGATAAGCTTATATTTTCATATAAATAAAAACATAGAGTTGGCGACAGGAGGAAAAGGAAAAAAGGAAAAAAGCATGGGAGAAGGAACGCAGGAGGCGTAACATTTCCGTGATTGTGATATTGGCAAATATTACGCAAGATGGCACGCTCCGAAATGTGATCAATTATTAACGAAAGAGGGGGGGAAGGAGGGGAGAGAGGGAGTGAAACGAAATCATAGAAATCCGTTCGAATGGAAGGAATAACGTTTTCCTTTGCATCATCATCAATTCTCTCGGGTTCTCCTTATCGAGCATCGGAGTTCATCGAGCAAAACACGGATGAAAACAAGAATTCTGATCTCATAACGGTGTTTCTCGAGCCTGGGCAGCACGCGTGCGTATCTAAATGGTATTCTTTTTCCTTTTTTTCTTTTTTAACGCGTCGAGGCCCCCCCTAAGAAAACCAGTCTCGACACCTGTTCTTCCCTCCATGGATTGCTGAAAAACGCGCTACTCAAATGCCGAACAGCGAATAGTAGAACACCGTCTAAATCTTGGCGGTTGGCCATAGCAGCCTCGGAACCGGTTGTGCCGGTGCACGTACGAAGAAATTTTCGACCTTGCCACCTTTCGAATTCATCGAGCCGGCCATACCATCGCGTTGACGTTCAGTCTTCCCCAAATTCGTTTCGGGGTGAATGACTGGAGTCACCGAAAGTGGCCATCCTACGACCGGTTTTATGTATACATAAATATCTTCATCTCCGTTCCAAAGAAAAAGGATATCTCTCTTTTATCATTTATATCTTAACGCATTAACCTTTTAATTCCATTAGATACATAAAATATTATCCGATTCCAATTCTTCCTCGAATTCTTTTTCGTTTCTATTAGATACTTTTTTTTACCCGGAAATGGCATACACGCCGGCCAACTCGGAATGGAAAATTTATGGCGGAATCCCATTGAGAATCCGCGCGTGGACGAGAAATATTTGGAGAGGAGGAGGTGGATGGACGAGAGGTGGCAAAGAGCTGTGAACGAAGCACGGTGTTATCGGGTTTCCACGCTCGTGGCTTAGGTAGGCAAGTACCGTTCGTCGGGCTACCTTCGACGAGCAGTCACGCCACAACCTTGGTCGTGTCAGGTGTGCATCGGCCTCTGTGGAGACCAACGGGATCCATCCATCGCTTCTTCACTCGTCGCATCCACGTTATTTTCTTTCGAGTCCAGGTAATCCCGGAAACGCATTCTTAAACGGTTCATCGCGTCTTTCTCGCGAGAAAAAAACGAAGATCTGTGACCCCTTGAACGAACGAGAGAACGAGGAAGGAACGAATTTTCGAATCGTCGAACCAAGTTTTCGAACCGCGGTTCCCATCTTGACACGCGGTGGCGCGTGTCGCGTAGCCAAGCTTCAATGATCGCATCCAAATCGAAAGCACAATCGAGCACGCTCTAGTTGATCGTAAATACCGTTGTTGCGCTTACGTGATTTTTCATGACTCGACTCGATAAATGAATTTGTCGATTGTTTTCTTTTTTTTTTTTTTTTTTTACTATTCGAAATATAATTCTTCAAGATTATTCTCGATGATTTCATCATCGATAAATTTATCGTTCGCGGTTGGATTAGGTTGGTTAGATTAAGAATTAAAGAAACAAAGAATAAACGAATATACTTTTCGAATAGAAATTTACCACTTCGCGATACATACAAAAATTTAAATGATCTAAGATAATCAATATATATATAAGTATCGTAAAAAAAAAAAAAAGAAACTATTATCATTACTCATGTTTAGCCACAACAGTCATGTCTAGTTTCCGCAGTATGAAAAAACAAACAAAGAACGATAACACCGAGTAATAACGTTATCGTTAACGTAAATGTATTTCACGAAAAAAAAAAAAAAGAAAAGGAAAATTCGCTATTATTATTTTAATTACCTTATTTTAACCTTTTTAAAGGACGAAAAATTTTCGCGCCCTCGAAACAGCAATGGTGTAAATTAATCGTATAGCTCGTACACATACATAACCGTTGTAAAGAGGTATTCTGACCGTGTCTAACGAGCTTCTTTAATTACATAATAAAATACACCGGTTACGTATATACAGAATCTATGAATCATTGAATCGTCTAATAAGTGCCTCCATTCTTCTCTCTCTCTGTGCTCTTATCCGTGGCTATCTTAGATCGGAATCTGCATCACCTGTCCGAGAAGAACGGTACGCGTTGTTGAACAAAATCATTAATAATACACGAATCGTACCGTTATCTCGTTGACTCTGTTTCTGTTCTTCGAGCAACAAGGAAAAAGAAGAGAGAGAGAGAGAGAGAGAATGAGGTCGAAAAAAAAAGGAAGAAAGAAAAAGAGGAAATTGGAAGGAAAGGGCGAGCGGTGGATGGAATATCTCGTGGGGGAGGCGAGAAATGATGTCGATGGCCGGTTGACCTTGGAAACCAACCACGAACCGAGAGTTCTCCTCGCTTTCCCTCTCGACCGCGCGCCAACCATCCGCAATCCTCCACTCTCCCTCTGTTCGGATGAAAATCTATATATAAGTGGCTCGCTACGAAGCTTTTCGATCGTTCCTCGTCCGCCGCTCTCTTCGAGGAATCGATGTTATTGGTTAAAAAAGATGCTGAACGAACGCCGCTCGGCTCAATTGTCAATTGTGGCGCGAGTTCGGCGCGTTGGAGGAGCAATGACTAACAGCGTGTACCGTTAGCCCGAATCCAACTGGAGAATGTCAATTTCCATTCGGGTTTACGGTACTGAGATACTGCGCGTTAGAATAGAGCCGGGCAGGTTCGATTGTTGGCAGGTTTCCTCGCGCGACACCCGTCGATCTCGCGTGGAAGGAGGGATGGAACGATGGATCGAATCGAAGAAATCGGGCGGACAATGGCTGGACGATGTCCGCCTTCGATCGTTGGTCCGATAACGTTCCACGTGCAACGGTATTCGAGTGACCACGAGCCGAAACGTTTCCGGTGTATTATACTCCCGCTTAAAATCCTGGCTGCGGCCTGGTTACGGGTCGTCCTTAAAATAACTCGACCACGTCGTCGATCGAGATCCCGTTTAGGGTGAACGACTCCTCGAATGAAAATCTTAGTATAGAATTTTTCGATCCGCGCTTCGAACGAGGCTTTAATTCGTTCATCCTTTTTCTTTTCTTTTTCTTCTGCAGAGCAAAAAGGAGAGGGATCACGATGCGGCTGCCGAGAACGTGCATCCTGCTGGCCACGTTGTCAGTCGTGGCCAAGTGCGAGGAGGAGAGTGCCTCGACGGTGTTCCTCGAGGCGGCTAAATCATTCTTCTCGAACAAGGAGAATATCAATGGGCTTCAAGGCCTGGCAAGAGCGTTCTTAGAGTCGGATGGCAGGTCGAATGAGGTAAAATCGTTCGTTCTTCCAACATTTTACTCGTATAATGTAAGAAATTAAATAAAATAGGAAAGAATTCAAATTAGATCCTATTAATAATTTCAAACTTACGTGTATTGAAAGAAGAGAGAGAAGAAGATTATCTCAATTGTGTTTCAAGCAGGGGAGCAACATGTATGAAAAGTCTAATCTGGATAGCGTCGGGCAAATCGTCTCAGGGATAGGAAGTTTGTTCTCGGGGAACGAGAACGGTCAAGGAGGCATCGATTTTTCGATGCTCGGATCGGTCCTCGATGGCGTGACGAATCCGGGCAACGAAAAGGATCGAAGGAGCGATGGATCGTCATCGGTGGAAACGAAACAGGATCGTGGAATCGATCTGGAGGGGATCGTGAGCATGGGAAGCATGCTGATGGGCCGAAAAGGAAATTCCGACTTGTTAATGGGCTTGTTGCCCATGCTGCTGTCCAACTTGGCCGGCGAAAGCAACGAGATCGACGACGATGGGCTCGCGCCATCCGCAAAAATTCACGATCACTCCGGCCATTCTTGGTACATGCCACCGATCCTGGAAAATCTGCACGTGATGTGGGATCACTTCAGCAACTCGGAGCTGGGGCAAACGTTGTGGAAGAAGAGCGGCCTGGCCCAATTTGTCGGGCAAATGTCGGATCCGGAGGGGCGCGTCCAATACGAGAAACTGCTGGACAGTTTCGAGAATCCAAGCTTGAGGCGCAAGTGGATACGATCGTTGACGAATCACGTCGGGGAGTGGATCTCGCATATATCCGATCCACAAATCCAACAACGTTACCTGAACACGATCCAATTTGTGGGAAACAGTTTCTTGAAGTCGCAGGGCTTTCCCAAATCGGCTATGTTCGATTCGACTAGGCCGGCAGAGAGTCTTTCCAGGTATAATTGTACTATTGTTCTTTAAAAAAAAAAAAAAATTGAAATGTAATAAGCGTCGTTACTTTTTTCTTTTATTAAACGTCTCGAAGATTATTTGTAACGATATTTAAAAAAAAAAAAAGAAAAATGCATTTAGATTTTATCGTGTAATTGTTGTTGTGTTTTTTTCGATAGGTTGGTGAACGCAGTAGGAAAGAGACACTTGGGAATGAAAATGGACAGTTCGCAATATATCAAGCCAGCTGTGGCTTATATTAAGGAATTAATCGCGTTGGCTTCGGAGAAAGGGTTCATCATGTCTCGAATAAATGCGAAAGGGATCAGCAATAGACTGAGCGATATGATCAATAATGATATTATGAATCCGATATTAAAAGTAAAGAAAAAATAAATAAATAGGATAATTTTGGTACACATTAGATATAAAAATGGAATCGCAGTAAAGTAAAATCGAGGATTAATTTTCAGTCTTATCGGGCGTACAAGTGGGCGATCAAGAGGCCACAATGCGCCAGTCAAATCTTGTGCACCATCAATGAAAAGAACGAATTGGATCGGGAACAACCCCGTCTACGAAGCGTTATGTCAAAAATGACTAGTTTTCCTGCTGCCTGGGCTGTCAGTAACAAATTAGGGACCAATTTTTGGACCCTGTATGGAGCCATCATGGAGCACGATAGATGCATCGTGAGTAACACATTGACAAGGAGAAATTGTATACTTATATTTTATACTTCAATACAAATTATTATAAAAATTTTCTTTCAATTTTTAGCAAAAGTATCCAGCCGACTGCACAGACTTCCACGAAGAGGAGATCCGAATTACCACAGAAAATATTCACAGTGAACTTTAATACTTAATTTGGTGTATCTTGTGAGAGACAGATTTCACGATTTTTAAAGTCAATTCAATGAATACACAGCCGTGTCACGCGGCTGTTATTCCTATCTATAGTTTGTAAGATCGTTACTTTTGTTAGGGAAAGAGTGATGTTCCGAAAAAAAATATCGAATGTCTCGTTTCCTTTAAGTGTACATAGAAGAACAGATAAGGGCGCAATCGTCGAATAAGTAGAGTAAGATCATTAATTTTATGAATATTTTATTTAGCCTGAATTTTACGTGAGGATTATTTACCTTCTCTTATACACATCGTGTAACTTTTTTGGTTTCATAGTGCAAAACTATTTTTTTTTTTTTTTGATCAATTGTGCAGTCACTAGCGATCAAATATATGTATACGCCACTTATTTGTATATTTTATTTTAATTCGCTTTTGTATTTATTTATTTTCTTTCTTTCTTTTTTTTTTTTTCCAAAGAGATCTTTTTCCAAGAGATAAAAATTCTATCTTACGAGAAGAAGAACACGTGTAAGAAGGCATGTCTTACACTATAGATAGACGTATTCATTAAGGCATCGTAAATTAGAGCTTAGGAAAGCTCCTTCCATGAAGGACGGAAGTTGATTGACTAGTAAATCCATTCGTTTACGTTGTCTGTTAACAGCTTTTGTAAATATTAGATAAAAGCCAAATAAAAAGTATGTTGAATGTATGAGATACAGATGTTGTAAGCTGTTCGATTTTTTAAGACGATTATGCCAATATTACTTTCTTTTAATGTTTTTGCATGCCCACTCAAGTCCCTCCTGTGAAATTATAAGATTTCGTCAATAATTTTAAACAGGATTACTTAATTTTAATTACTTAATTAACTTAATATAATATAATGCAACATTTAAATATATATGCATAATTGATTTACCTTGACGCCTTTCCCGTCGATAGCAATGCACGATTGTATCTGCCAATCGCGATCTTTGATATTATGTAATCCAAGGCCTTCGGCAATTTCTGCTGCTGTGACTGCTTGCCCAAGATCTTGTTTATTCGCATAAACTAATAATGGAACACCTTTCAATTTTTCTTCCAATAAAAGTTCTGATAGTTCTTGACCTGTTTCCTCTAATCTCTTTATATCCGCACTATCCACGACATATATCTTTGTAAAGTGAAAAAAAAAAAATTTTTTTTAACGCACCTCTTCTGTGATCTGATGATGTTTAATGGATAATTAATATAACTTACTAAAACATCCGTATTTTCAAAGTAATTTCGCCAATAAGGTCGAATTTTTCGAGCACCTCCTATATCCCAGACATTCAATTTAAAACCTTCGCTTTGAACACTTTTTATATTAAATCCTTGTGTCGGTGTTACCTTTAATAAATAATGAATAAATATGTAACGAATAATCAAACTATAAATATAAATTCATAACAATGATACCTGTGTAATATCTTCACTGGCCAATGATCTTAAAATTGTTGTTTTTCCTGCATTATCCAATCCTAAAAGGAGCAATCGCAACTCTTTATCTGGATTGGAACGTAATTTTCTTAAAATTGATAAAAGTCCCTGTTGAATCAATAAGAAAATATATTGTTAGTCAAATAAATATTTGTTAGTATTCAAACATTTAAATTTAAATGGCGCGCGCGTTAACCTAGCAGACGAAATCACTTCGAGATGGCAGTGTTGCACTCGCGTGAGAATGTGTGAATTTGTTGTCAAAAATTTTATTAATTTTTTACCGATATATATTTATTTGAAACATCAAAATACGAAATAAACAATGAGTATAATTAACTAGATAATGATTATTTATGAAATACAATTGTGATAATGTTAGTTATGTTTAAACTCAAGAGTGCAATTGTTGTTAGGTTATGTTTCAAATATCCGTGTTTTAGGAAAATGTTTTTTAAGTGATATCGAAAGATGAATATTATTATGAAGTGCATTGAAAATTAATTTTCTTTGTTTCCTTACCATTTCTTGTTGTTAGTTTATGAAACGAGAGCAAAAAAATGTGGCAATAATTTACCACGTCACGTCAATCGTTCTGTTACCGTCCGTCGAATTTATTGTGTTGTTTCTTTCGTATCTAAGGAAACTGATGGTACCTGCGTCATTTGACCAATAATCTTTCACGGTATATATTTGCATAGAGACATAAATTAACGGATGTACATTTATCTACTTTTATATCGCTCAATATTAAATGTAGCTTTAAAAAAAAAAACTTACAAATCTATATGTATAAAAAAAATATGTATATAAAATCTATATGTATAAAATGTATTTTGTTTTTAGAAACAATGATGACATTTTATTATGCTGGTTTTAATACCAGTACATTGTTTTCTAACAATGGAAATATTATCTTTATAGTAGATTCATTTACTAAAGTACCATTTTCTGGAATTACCGGTTTTCAAATAGGCTGGAGTTATTTTCTTATTTGGAAAGGGAAAGAACTATATATCTCTCAAAAATTTGAGGAAAACAGCAAAGAAACGGATTCAAATTTTCAACTGATACAACCACCACCAGAAAAACTATTAGATAGGTACATTTTAGATAACTAGAAAATTACACGTTCAAATCTAAACTTTATTATCTATCGTTATCTGTAGTATAAATCAAGCTGCAATTGGCAAAGATAAAATAATACTTTTATTTGATGATAATGAAATATGGCAATATAAAATCTATGAAAAAACATGGAAAAAAGTTATCAATTTTATTTGCAATAGTAATGATTCAGAAAATGAATATCCTGTTAAAGTAATACAAAAAGAATGCGCTGTTGTTCTTACTAATTTAGGTACATTTTGTAATACATATAACAAGTAATAAAATTTGTGATAATACACATTGAAAATATGATTTATTAGGTCGAGTTTTTAATATTCCTACCTGATTGATATTCCAAAGAGAGTTCGATTCATAGATATTGCATGTGGATTTGATCACACTATCTTGTTAGCAGAGAATGGTGACCTTTATTCAATGGGAATGGGAACGTATGTATCATTCTACATTATTCCACAAATTAATACAATCAAAGTAAAATGAATTGATTCATACGAAACAGGCGTGGTCAATTAGGACACAACGATTTAGAGGACTGTGACAACCCAAAACTCGTTGAAGCTTTAGCTGGGATCAAAGTAACGCAAATTTCAGCTGCAGGTTGGCACAGTGCTGTAGTAACAAATCAAGTGAATACTCTTGCAATAAATAGATGGAATCGATAAAGATACTTTTTAACGATCGTTTTTAATTACAGGGTGATCTCTACACTTGGGGATGGAATACGAACGGAGAATTGGGATTGATTAATCAAGAGAGCAAAGTGATTGCTGTGCCTACATTGATAGATTTTACAAATGATAAAAACGAAAGCGTTGAAATTTTTGTGGAAAAAGCTCAATGTGGAAATACGTTTACGATTTGTATGACGAGTACGTTAAAAAAATAATATTAAAAAAAAGGGGGGAGGGATCAATTCTGCATGGTCATTACAGAATTACCAATTAAATAATATAATTAATTGATTAGATAAATGTGAAATTCACTTTCAGATGATGGAACATTTTGGGGATGTGGATGTAACAAATATGGTCAATTAGGACAATCTCCGGAAAAGCTTGCAAATTCGATGAAGTTTATCAAACTGGATACCTCTATGATCCCCGGAACTATTAAAGATTTCAAGTGTCGTGAATGGGGTACAATTCTTATAACAAACTGATATTGTAATTTTTAACAGTTAAGTTAAATTTGTAAAAAAAAAAAAAAAGAGAGAATAAAATTTTTTAATAATTTATGTTTTTGATTCTTTAATGTTGTGCGCCATGTGTATTCGTATCAAAATGGTACGATGCCTCGTTTGCTTCTATTAATGGTAAAATAAATAAACGATTGTATTTCAATTGTATTTCATCGTCCAAAGAAGGTGGAGGGGTTGGAGGTACTTCGTGAAATTTAGCTGTAACATAGAAATCATACAGTTCGTTTTGTCTCTTGCAATATTTTTTAATGGAAATTTGCATTTTACATCACCTTTTTTATGTTTTTCAACTTTTTTAAGCTTTTGTAACAGTTCGTTTTTCTTTAGAAGTTTTTGCAATTGTATGTTGAAAGGAATTATCCTATGTTCGGCCGGTTTGAACGGACGTGGATGTCGGAAAGTAAATGGCAAATTATAAGTCTGTATTTCAATTGGCTCGATGAAAACTGCATAAACGAGGGCGTATCGTAATTCGTTCGCGTACCTGTTCACCGACAATTATTTTTCTTTTTTTTTTTTTTTTCTTATCCTAATCTTATCTCGCTTTTTAAACTTTAAATGTTTCGTTTTAAAAAATGAACTTACATATCGTAAGTGGCATCAATTATGATATTCAAAACTGAAAGAGGATCGATGTTGCTTAAGAATTTCATATCTTCTTGCGAAATAGATTCTTGTAAACTTCTCGCAAACATGTAACGAGCCATTATTAAAAACGGACAATAAAAATTTACACGACAAGTAGGATCAACCTACCTTTTCGATTCGTTCATCGATTCATTCTCCTTCATCTCTTCTTTCATTTCATACACAATTTCCTCCCAATACGGTATTCGATTCTGTTGGGATATTTTGTTACCAACTACGATAAAAATGTTTTTCATCTCTTGAAAAAATTCTTTCCTTGTATACTTCTTATCTTACATAAATAACAAATAGAATTACAAATAGAATAATAATTTAAAAATAAAATATATATATATATATAAAATAAAATAAACTCAAGCGTTTTATAATCTCGTTACCTCGAAGCAATTTCATTTCACCGGTCAACCAACTGATCAGAACAGCCATGTAACACTCATCGAGTTCCTCTTTGTAACGTAGCATGTATAGGGCCAGAGTATCCAAAAACCAAAAGGACGCCATGTTCGTGGCGTAATCGGTAATATCGAGGAGTTCACCTAACAATCTGTAGAAAAGAAAAAGTTTGCATATATTTCAATTCGATATTTCGATTAGCACGATATTATATCATTCTAACCTAATGAGATCTCGAGGTTTGTCGTTTTCGACATTGATCGATGTGTCGAGCAGGCATTTGAACGTACGCGGAAGTGTTCGCAGAAACTTTTTGGGAAATTCATTGCAATTGGTTTCATGAGTCAACTCTGATTCTACTTGCTACAATTTTATAAACAATATAAATTTCGCGAATTCACACAATCGAAATCAAATTTTATCCAGCTAGAGAGAGAGGAGGGGGGGAGGGGGGAGGGGGAGGGAAGTACAAAGAAATAATGGAAATGAAATGTAAATGTTCGATAGAAAGAAGAATAAAGGATATAATATTTTAATTAAAAACCTCGTGTGATTGATCGTTTTCATTT